CTTCAACATGTTTTATGTATTTGATTATTGAAACCAGCTGATGTCACAGCAGAGAAATTTAAACATAACCAGAAATTTCTTCTTCTTCTAAACCATTTCAATTTCAGTGCAGATGATGAAATATGATAATTTTTTATACAATACACAAAATAAAATACGTTTGCATCTCACATGTAGTTTTCAGAGGATTTTCGGTGCTTCATGAAGAATCTCGGTATTTAAAGTTTGATAAAAACATAGTAAAGATTTCTCGTTTATTCCACGCCTCAGAAAAAGTTAATGATTTCATGGCGTCTGCATCATCCCATGACAGAAGGCTCATCTCTGGCTTTGCTTTATGGAAAGGCTGCGGTGCAAAGTTACAAAATCTGCATTTGTCATTACAGCCTCCATGATGTTGTTAAAACAAAAAAATCAAGAGTTTAGGGTCTGACATCTTGCTTAATTGGTTTTATTAATGCACATTTTCAGGATTAAACTTTGAGCTCTTTAATTCTGGAGGATATTCTGGAAGCTGAGAAAAAAAAAACATGTTTGAATGAAATGGGAGAAAGTCTACATGGCATAAATACATAAAAACACTCAAATTAGCTCATTTGTTTCAAATGTTTGCTACACTGGTTGCAGCTTCTTTCTTAAGGCTAAGATGGTTTGGGCTGAGAAAGGAGAAAGACCACAGAAATGGTCCATAAATGTGAAAGAACAATAAATAAACAGTTTGTTCAGAGGACAAGCTGAGCAGGAAGCAGTCAGATGATCTCTAAGCAGAAAGTTTATTATTTTTTCTTCAAAGGTCTGATCTTCTACAAAAGAACCCAGATCTGTATCTGTTGCGTCTCCACGCCATCGCAGCTCTTCAAAGCATTGAGGTTGATGAATGTGTTTCAAACTGTGAAGAGATTTAGAAAACTCCTGTCAGAAACATGCAGACCATGTGAGCCCACTGGCCGCCGCTCTCCTTATCTGCTCTGGCAGCTCATGGACCGCAGCCACTATGGCTCTGAGCCCAGAGAGAGTCCAGTTCAGAGATTCTGATGCATGACCGCACAGATCCGGGAACATTTAGCAGAGCATGAAACTCCAGACAACCAGCTCTTACTGCGGACACTGATTCCTGCAGAAATGAAGACGCTAAAGCAGAAATCTTTGACTGTTCCTGAGTTTGAATGTGAGGAAGATTTCAGCGAGTGGCAGCATCTGATTCTGTCCCATTTAATGATTAAAGCCTGAAAGCCTCATTGGTTTTTCTATGTTTTTCAATTCCTGCACAAAGCAGCTTTAATTAATGATTAACGGACGAGTGAAGGAGGCAGTTATAGAGATTCACTTCCTCAGAAAAGACATTTTTTCCACCCAGTTATATTCCATCTCCCGCTGCAGAGAAAGTCCCTTTAATGAGGAGGAATTTTCAGCCGCTCAGACAGCAGGAGGGTAAAACTTCAGCCTCTTCGATTATTTCACTCAAAGAACAACAGTTTTCTAAAACTGCAGCAGAAACGTTCCTTTAATCTCACAGCTGATGATTGTTCTTCACATCCAAAAACAGAAAATATGTTTGCATGAAACACTGAATGCAAATACGATCTAGAAATAAGTAAAGATTTCTTGAATTAAGTGTATTTAACCTTAATTTGAGCAGGTAAGTAAGAGGATTTACCAAAGGAAGGAGTCGTTTTATTCCTAATATAAGATAATTAGATAATATTCCATTAAAATAAAATATTTCTTATTTTAATGTAACTTGTCTTAATCTATTGGTAAAGTGTCTCACTTAGCTCCTAAATGTAAGACAAAATGCACTTATTGTAAGAAAAAAGGACGTTTAAATTTTTTGCTGTTTGGTTTTGCATCTTCACTGCAAAAACATTCTAGAAATAAGTAAAAATGTCTATGTTTAATGGTATTTACCCTTAAATTAAGTAGGTAAATAAGATGATTTGCCATTGGAATAAGGCAATGCAATAGTTTTTTTTTTATTTTAAATGTAAATTGTCTTGTTCCATTGGCAAAGTGTCTCACTTAGCTCCCTCAATTCACTTATTTTAAGAAGAAATAACGTATTTAGATTTCTTTTTTTAAGTGTAAACAAAATGTCAGGTTTTATAGAACAGTAATCCATTAAAATCTACTTAAAATCTTGCTTTTTATATTGCTGTGTAACAGTTTTTACATAGCAGCTAATTCAGTTGATTGTCTTCCGTATAATTGGTAGAAAAATATGAGTTTTTTTAACCTCAATCTGAAATTTAAAACATGCAGTAATTTGCTGCTTAATCTGTTTCTGGCTTTGTCTTTTGAAGACAATCTAAATTCCTGTTGCCTTAGACTTAGATTATATAGAAAACCAACAGTAGATCAGAAACCAACTGGTTTCTCAGATCGGCTCAAAATGCTTTACAGGAGCTCCAGTTTAAACCTTCTTCCTGTATTTTCTTCAGGTTTTGAGACCTAAAACTGAACTTATTGGAGATTCTTTTTTGGGATTTCCAGCTCCCATCATTGTGGATCTATGGGGCAGCAATGAGGGAAACTTGCAGTGATCAGAGCCTCCAAGCACCAACCAGAACCGGGGAATTGGAGGCCCCTGTTATCGGTCGCTATGGTGATCCCCCCTACATCACCCTTTCCCCCCAAACACCAGACGCTCTTTAAACGTTGGTTTCTAGACTAAATCTGCTCAGTCTGTCATAGTCTCGACTTACTCCAGAAATAGTTGTTAAATATTGGGCTGTGTTTGATCGGTCTGACTTTGTCCCACTCTACTCCAATGATAGACATTGAAAACTGGTTTTTCAAAAATCCGAATTACGGATTTTCACTTTTCCATCAAATGTAGACGTCAGGGATGTAAATCATGTCGTCTTTTCAATGTGTTTTTAACCAGTTTTGGCTCGCTGGGTTGCATTATGCATCAAAGAAAATAAGTAATTGTGAGGAAACTCTTTGTTTAATCTGAAATAACCTGAAAGTAAAACATGGCTCACAATGTGAGCTTCAGTGTGGATGATGTTTTATGTTGGATGTATGGAGGCTTCTGTTCCAGACTGGAAACATGAGCCATGGAAACTAGAGTTTGGCTCTGAGAGTTTTTTTCTCTCTGATAGAAATCAGTAAAAGATGGCAGGGGTTAAAAATAGACCATAATATCCATCAATAGATATATTTAAACTGTACATGTTGAGACGACAAAAGTCAAATATAATCACTTAACATTGTGTGGGTTGTATTAAAATCAGATTTTCATGTTTTCATATCCAACTCCTGGACATTTCAACTCTGAAATGTGTTTCTAGTGTGAACTTAGCCTCGTGAGACCATCCTGATCTCGCGAGCTTTCAAGGTTTCACTCGCAGATCAGTCTGGAGACTCTCTGCTAAAGAAAATTTGGAGCCGTTCACCAAACGAACGTCCAATCAGCGTTGGCTTTGAGGCGGGTTGAGGTGTGACGCAACGAGAAGCGCGACAGTTCAGTCTAAAGAACATGGCGGCTTCAGCCGATGAAACTAGCGTTAGCGTGGCTATCGAGCAAGTTTTATGGGAATTACAGAGTATTTCTTCACTGAAAGAAGAGCAAAACACTGCTCTGGAGGCTTTTCTCAGAGGAAAAGATGTTTTTGCTCTTCTCCCGACTGGTTTCCGCAAGAGTTTGATCTATCAATTGGCTCCTCTTCGTCGTCGCTCTGTTAGTACGTCATATGCTTCGTCTATCACCAACATAGGCCAATCAGCTAACCAGTATTTTTGCCCCTTCCCAAAAATTACTTCAACGGAAGGTTTCCAGATGGATATGCGGAGCAAATCCATCTGGCGGAGTCAGGTTAGTGTAAACTATGGAGCTTTGAACAGATTATATCTGCATTTTAACCAAAATACTACTTTTATTCATGGAAAAAAGCTCCTGATTGTTTCTAAATGTTTATAAGTCTTTTATGATGCATTAACAAACACAATTCCTCAAGGGCTGGTTATGCTCTCACAGCAGTGTGTCGCAGTTAGCTTGCCGAAGGTACGATGGAGGTATTTTTGATTTATGCCCAATATTGAAGCGTGGTCTCCATTTTGCTATTCCACGCGACAACGCAAGAGGGACAATCAGGAACTAGCTGAGTGTCTAGCTAGGATTGAGGGTGTCTGGTTTTTGGTTTGACAAGCTTTTTCGTCGTCTACAACCCCTCAACCAATGCCGGACACACAGTTCACCCGTGAGTGTTCCCCAAAGACTGGCCGTGGCGCTGCGTGTTTTGGCCTCAGATGCAAACCAACAGACTACAAACTAGCGTCCTGCACAGTGTCTGGGTTAATGTCCAAGGTGTGCCAGGCGTTGTGGACGGCACTACAGCCAGAGTTTCTGCCATTAGGTACCAAACAGGAAATACGCATTGAGTAGAGCGGATGTAGATTTGACCAATCAGAGGCCTCCATGTCTGTACCACTGTCTGAGTTAACTGCGACACAGACCTGATGACCTGGTTTCTGAGCATTAACCAGGCTTTAGTCCGTTTTTAAATACTTTAGGAGGAGAAACACATAAACAATCCCGCAACAACTAAATGTTTTCTTCTACCGTAAAGCTCAGCAAACACAGCCAGCTCAAATGAGCTTGTTGTGCTCTGCAACCAAAATATGTGGAACAAAGCAGGAAAAGGCACAGTCACGTTCAGAAGGTTTCTGAAAACATCACATTTCTGTTTCATATATTAACACTGACTTTATAGGGCTGTGTTAATAATTCACAATAAATAAGTAGGTCATTGTACATAAGAGAGCTGCCAGTCACAAAGATCATCAGTCTTATATATGCAGAACCTTTCAACAAACCGTACAGGAATATATGATAAGCACAGCGACAAATGAGCAGCTCCAGTCTTGATTACCGGATCAGAACAGAAACAGCAGGAACATGAATCTGTACATTATTTATACTCTTTACATATTTACTGTTTACATCCTGGCATTGGTTGTGCTCTGAAAAGACGAAGAGAGAATTCACTGTGAGAACCGAAAACCCGACAGGTGAACAGACTTGGCGTTGCTGCCTTGTTTTGTTCTCCGTGGCTCAAACTGAAAATAAAAGGCAGCAGGAAATGAGTTGGTGGATTTTCATCCATCCAGACAGAGGAGTATGAAGCCAGCTTTGTGCAGACAGCGGCCAAAGTAACAAAATCCAGTCAGCTGTACTATTTATCTTTACAAACATCCTTAATTATCCTTTATTTTTAAGGAAAATATCTTAATTTCCTAAGTGCACCATCACTTGCATCCATCATTTTCCCTTCTCCTCTCGCTTCAGCAACCATCACACATATGGAGAAAATAATCAGTGTGGCAGGCTTGGTTTTGTCCTATCCTAAGAGGCCCTCTGGATGTTTTTGCAGCTCTGCTAATTGGCAGCGGCGCCGCTTCAGGCGTCAGTGTCTGGCTTCTCCACCAGCTTTAAAGCCTCATGCATGCCAGCCGCTGACAGCTTCCGGTTGATATTCCTGTAGCGGCAGCGCAGCAGGTTGCTGTAGGTGGTCCTTAGGTCGCGGTTGAAAAAGGCGTAAATGAAGGGATTGATGAGCGAGTTGGCATACCCGAGCCAAAGCAGAGTCCTCTCCAACCAGAGCGGCACGCAGCTGCACTCCACGCCGCAGACAAACGGTCTGGCCGTGGACACCAGGAAGAACGGCAGCCAGCAGAAGGTGAACGCGCCGACCACGATGCCCAGAGTGGCCGCCGCTTTCTGCTCCCGCTTAAAGATGGACTGGTTCTTCCTTTTCCGCCGCTGGTGATGCTCGGTGCTCTTGAGAAGGCGGGAGACGCGGCTGCTGCACTCCTCCTCCACCTCCCGCTGCAGCTTCAACGCTGCTGCCACACAGTCCAGGCTCTCCTCCGCCTCCTCCTCCTCCTCACAAAGCTCCGTCTCCGTTGCCTCAACGCTTCCCGTTTCTCCTGACTCTGAGGGCTGCCGGGGCTCGTGCACCCCTCTCCCCCCTCGGTGGGCCGCCCCTGCGCGGTGCTCTCCTTCCCTGGGGAAGCCGGTGATGGTGTGTTTGGCTGCGCTGAGTTTAGCCGCTCTGTAGATCCTGTAGTACATGATCAACATGACCGACATGGGGATGTAGAAGGCCACGGCCGTAGAGTAGACGGTGTAGCCAAAGTCTTGGCTGATGAGGCAAACTCTGCCATCGTTGACATTCTGTGCCCAGCCGAAGAGTGGGGGCAGGGTGATGGAGGCAGAGAGGAGCCACACTGATAGGATCATCTTGGCCATGCAGCAGCCGTTCTGGCGAACAGGATACGTCAGAGGTTTAGTGATGCCAAGGTACCTGCCAAGAAGGAAAACGGAGGATTTTACTGTTTTGGAAGAATCACATAAATTCTGCCTAATGGGAAAAATGACTAGTTCACCCCCACCCACTCACCCACCCTCAACAAGGTGCCCTTGAACAAACAGCTTAACCACAATCTCTCTGAGCCATATGCAGCCGCAGATGGGAACTGTGTGATTTTATGAATGAAAGGCAGACAGATGTTGCAAGAAATAGTATTTCTGAGGTTATAGTTAGACCACAGAGCAAAAAAAAAAAAAAAAATGGAGGAGGGGGATAAGAAGCATCAATCTGGGAAAATTTTTCATGAAAAATCAAAATGTATGCAGTTCTAAAATGCAGATTTAACTAAAACATTGGGAAAGAAAATATGTCTCTTAGTGAGCAAACAGCTGGGCAGAGAGAAAAAAATAAAATCCATGATTTAATGGCCAGCTGGAGACACAGACCTGATTTTATGATTCAATTGTTTGAAATGTGGGATTAAAGGATAAAAGTGATCTGCAGCTGACAGTCTCAGTTTGGTGAAGTCTGCAGATCAAAGCTGGGAAAGTTTCCCATGCAGCTGTTCTCTCTGCAAATCCCACTTTTTGGGGCGTTTAGTTTCAGGCACTTTGAAGTTTCTCTTACCTGTCGATGCTGATTACGCACAGAGTCATGATGGACGCGGTGCAGCACATCACATCCATGGCGATAAAAACGTTGCAGAAAAACTGCCCAAAGATCCACTGACCGCCGATCAGGTCCGTGATGCTGACGAACGGCATCACGGCCAGCGCCACGGACAGGTCCGCCAGGGCCAGAGACACGATCAGGTAGTTGGAAGGCTGGCGCAGCTTCTTCACGAAGCACACCGAGATGACCACCAGCAGGTTCCCGCAGATGGTGGACAGCGTCAGCATGGTGAGCACCCCGCCGATCAGGACCTTCTCCACCCGCCCGTAGCTCAGGATCTGCTCCCCACAGCGCGTCCCGTTCGTCTCCATGACCTGCGGCTGACTGGAGGAGGACGGAGAAGTGGCCGCTGCCGCCGCTGCTGCCGCAGCCTCTGCGGCGTCCTGTGCAATTTTTAGCAGCTTAGGCGCCAGAGCTTCAGAGATCATCATGCTGGTGGAGAAGCCCGGGTCCCCTCCGCCGACCTTATCCTCGATCATGAACGCAGACCTCAAGTTGTCAGCTGAAAAAGTTCCGTTACTCGCTCCAACAACAACCATCCTGGTGCCTGGTGGTGCTTTTTATCCATGGACGTGTTGAGAGCTGTCCAGCGGGGACACAGACGCGCAGATGTGGCAGCGTTGGTGTGAAGAACGTGTGATGTTCTCTCTCCGCCAACAGATTCACATGAAAACTGTTACAACTCAGGGGCATCGTGCGTTATTACGCATGTGGCGCGCAGTGGGCAGACTCACATACATCGAACGCCAGTTCTGCTTTATGTCGCTGATGGTCCAATGCATCCGGGCCAGTTATGTGACCTGGGTTCTGCAGCTGCAACCAAGCAGAAACTCCAAACCCATCATGCCCGCAGATCTTTCCCAGAAGTTGACGTGACGTCAAAAGGCGTTTAAGAAACCTTGGAAGCACCAATATCTTCTTGTCTACTCACACAAACACATACAGTAATAACAATGAGAATGTGATGTCCACTGGGGCTCTGCGCTGATTGGTGCCAGAGAATGACCGCGCGTAATTGCGCATAATGAGGAAATATTCTGCTGATTGTGTTTGAGAATCCAAGTGGGCCTCCTGACAAAACCCAGAGAATATTTAGTTAGAGATTTGAAGATGAAGCACAGTTCATTTGAATAAACAGAAAAGGATTTAATATATTTAAGGTCTCAAGACACATTAATAGTACTGATTAAAAGTATTAACTTTAAACTCGGTATGTTTTTGTGTTTTTCTGAATCTGTGAGTCTCTTTTCATATCAACTCCTCCAACTTTCAGACATTTAATTATTTCCAGTTCAGATGCAGGATTCTGCCTCCATCATGAGCTCCAGTCTGACTTCATCACTTCGCTCACATTTTGACGCTGGAGTTAAAAGAATCACAGAAACAACAACAAAAGGCTCCAACAATCCAGTAGAACCAGGGGGGAGATTTACCATTAGGCAAGACTAGGCAGTTGCCTAGGGCCCCCATTAACTTGGGGCCCAATAAAACTCTATTTACATGTAGGGTTAATACAACTATTCCTTATTTGTGCACATTAATTATGTTATTTAATAAAAAAATCCTTTCTCTAAAATGCCATCAGAACGCTGATAATATTAAGCGTGTCTCAGCCCCCCCCCCCCTTCAGTGTCCACCATATTGGATCAGTCCATTTGCTGCACATGTTCAGAAAGGTCCAAACAGACAGCAGCAAACCATTTGAAAACAAACCATGCAAAGAGCAGTGTTGCCAACTTAGCGCTTTAGTCGCTATATTTAGCCACTTTTCAGACCCCTCTAGCACTTTGATTTCTAAAAAGCTCCTAGCGCCAAATCTAGAGACTTTTTTCTGCTACTGGAGACTTTGGAGACAACATCTAAAAGCAGCGAACTCTGCTCTCCAGAGCGAGTAGATTGGTAACCCCGCCTCCTGCTCTCCTCTATCTTGTCTGCTGTCATGATTCATGCAGCTATTATTTCATCCAAATGAAAAATGGAGAACAGATAAGCAGATCATGGCTTGTCTACAGTGAAAAGAAGGACTGGGTTATTTACTTTGGCCTTTTTGGAAACACAGGAAGGAGCAATCAGCTAAGTGAGCTTAGTGCTTGGAAAAAATCTTTCATTCCTTTAGAGACAGCATGAAAAGTCAGCTGAGTACAAAACATAGAGAGGAAAACAAGAAGAAAAGGGACAAGAAGAGAGGGACACAACCTAGAACAGATAATGGATGTCTATTCTATTAACACAGGGCCCCCTGCCTGTCTTTGCTTAGGGCCCCAAATGTCCTAAATCTGCCCCTGTAGAACAAATGGTGGCGGATTAGTTTCTGACATGGAATGTGTGCAGGAGGCAGGACCTCCATGCTGCTTAAATACATCAGCGCTCCAACTAGTTTGCTCTGATGGAGCCAACAGACAAAGACTACTGGAAAGGTGTTGAAACATTTTCACAAAAGTCAGTTTGCCTCCAATTTAAGGATGCTTTTAGAGTTTAGAAAAAAAAAAAAAAAAAAACAACTTGAGGGAACCTTTTACTGATGACAAGCTGCCTCTAACTTTAGATGTTAGCACCCTCAAGTGGTCACTTGTTGGCACTGCATGCTGAATCCTGGAGATCTTTAGCTCATTGTCTCAAATCAACAACGATGCATTTATAGCTTGATATAAAATATTCTTATTATTAAAAGTTTTAAATGATTAGTTTGGTTTTTGTTCTTTATCAGCTGCTAAGCTGAGATATAAAATGTCCTTACAGGCAAGGTGGCTGTCTGTTTGAAATAATAAAAAAATATATATTTTATTATCAGAATGGAGAAAATCGCAGCAGCTGTTATTATCACACAAAATGGGCACAGGAAGTTGTCAAAAAGGAATAATGTGTAAGAAAAACAAACATTAAGACATCGATGCATAAACCTAAATATAAAAACTTAAATAATGAAGTTGCACAGAATGTGTTGCTCTTATTCAGGCTAATTCTTGTACTGCTAACTCTCCTCAGCAGTATATTGATCAGAACTGTATGTTCTCTTATTCTAAGTCTTATTTTTGATGATTAAAGTCCTGCTTGGACCATGAGGCCTTAACAGGCTCACAGTCTGATCTGTTTGCAGACTCTGACTTTTAGAGGCATTCATTCAATCAATTAGACTTAGACAAACGTAATTGTCATTTTGTTCCCACAGGGTGCATAAAAAACAAAATTTCATTCAGTTCAGCTCTCAAGACATTTCCAGTTCTTAAGATGCAGCAGTGATCAAATGTAAACATGAGGCTGAGATGATTTACAGTTTTTCCAACATTCAGCCATTATTTTCCCTACATTTTTTTTTCATTAATCACTGTTCAGTTTTCATTTTGTTTTATTAAGAAGAGTTCTGAGGACTTTTCCACTGGTTGGCAGCTCAGCTGATCCAACACAGAAATAAGTGGGTGAAAGATTGAATGGATGCAGAATGGAACCCCCCCCCCCCCCCCCAGTAGCAGCCCTCCAGACAGTTCATGGGCTCATTAGGAAGTACAGGCTGAGGTCATCCTTTGTTGCAGTGATCCTAGAGGTGCTCTGATGAGAACAGTTATTGTACCGTTACCTAATTATACACAAGTCCACTGATTATTCATGAGTAAAAATTACATAAGCTTCTATTTTGTTACTAGAATAGGGAATGTTTCCTCTGCTGTCACTTATCAGCGTTATGAATTACTCATTTTAATCCTCTAAGGATGAGTCAGGAAAAATACTGTTACTGGGAGCAACTGGGACTTTACTTTGAGCAGCTAAGAGCCTGACTGGAGTGTTTCCCACTCTGCAGAATCTATTAGTTCAATTTCTAACGTTTAGTTCATCTACTATGAGCTTATAATTTGCCTAATAAAATCTCTAACTAAATATTCTCTGGGTTTTGTCAGGAGGCCCACTTGGATTCTCAAACACAATCAGCAGAATAGTTCCTCATTATGCGCAATTACGCGCGGTCATTCTCTGGCACCAATCAGCGCAGAGCCCCAGTGGACATCACATTCCCATTGTTATTACTGTATGTGTTTGTGTGAGTAGACAAGAAGATATTGGTGCTTTTTAGCTTTCTTAAACGCGTTTTTGACGTCACGTCAACTTCTGGGAAAGATCTGCGCGCATGATGGGTTTGGAGTTTCTGCTTGGTTGCAGCTGCAGAACCCAGGTCACATAACTGGCCGGGATGCATTGGACCATCAGCGACATAAAGCTGAACTGGCGTTCCGATGTATCTTTTTTTTTTTTTATTCAACAATTGCACAGTTTACATGAATACATGAACATTCGTCTCCATTGAGAAAATATTACACTGTGCAGTATTTAACATTGCTGGTGTTTTAACATAAAATCATCACATTTTTCCAGGGAAAGTACAAATTTACAAAAATATATTTAATTGTTTAAACACATTTACAGTTTTTGTTGCCTTTGATTAAGAGAATACTTAATCGCGTTGACATATTGCTTGACCACATTGTTAATTAATGATATTTTGGAATGTGAAAACTTACATTTAGTATGTTGAATTTTGCCAAGAGAATAATCCGATTAATAAAGTCATATGTTATGCTGAGGTCATAAAGTCCAAATAGGACATCCTTCCAAAATAACTTAAAGTCTTTCTCAATTTTTTCTGCAGTAAACTTACAAATGTCAGATCAGAGATTTTGGACAAAAGTGCAATGCCAAAACAAATGGGTTACTGTTTCAACACTCAGAGAACAAAAAGTGCACAATACGTTAATGTCTTGTTTTTTTTTTTTTTGTTTTTTTTTTATTGAAACATTGCAAATTACAAAATATTAACATAACATATCTCAAGAAATAGAACAATATCTCCAGAATATGATGGAGTGCAAATTAAGTTAAGATATGACATACTTTAACTTAAATAAATAACAAAAGAGATTTAAACAAAGACAAAAAATAAAAGACAGAAATTAAAAAAATAAAAAAGGGCCCAGATATTTTACATTTCTCCAAATATTTCAAGAATTACGTTAACAGTGTGAATACTTTTTTATTGTTGATTCTCTGGATACAATTGAAGTAATTTTTTAAATTATTTTCAAACACAGGGAAGAAAGGTCGACCTTCGGAAAATTTGGTTTGGCTTGTAGTTTAATTGGTCTGTTGGAGTGATATGATGTAAACCTCAACTTCTTTCCAGAATATCTGTAAAAATTTACATTCAAAAAATAGATGATTGTTTCTTCCTCAGTATTACAGAATACACAGTTGACAGTAATATTGACAAATTTGGCTAAAACACGTTAGTAGGGTAAATGTTATGTATCATTTTGTATTGGATTTCTTTTATTTTGTTAGAAATAACAAATTTGTGTGGAAGGAGCCGTGTTATTTTCCAGTTAATGTCAGGGAAAGAGGAGGACCATACATATTTCCCTATCGGAGTAATTTCCCTTTTCCTAAAAAAAAGTTCCTTATATATTTATTATTACATTGATGACTTATAAAGTTTACACCATTAATAAAGAGGGTGAGGTCCACTTTCTCTGCCTCTTGGCTTTTAAAATGACCTTTGAGTAATTGGAGAATCGTTTCAATGTATCTGAGTCTGCCCACTGCGCGCCACATGCGTAATGACGCACGATGCCGCTGCTTCCTGACTACTTTTATTGTGAAGCGACAGACGTTGGGATCAGCTTCCGGCACCTGTCTGTTCACTCATTCCCTGCAAAGCCGCGTCAGAGCGGTCCGCGCGCCGCACTTTGGGTCCTACCAGCGGAAGAAGGCGTCCACGGTAAACAGTGGGTTGCCAGGTTGGGAAGGAATCCTCCTTTTGGTCGGAAGCTGCGATGACGGTTTAGTTTGCAGGATCCTGGATCCGGATCTGGTTCCATGAAGAGGATCAGCTGGACCGGATCTTAAAAACGCGTCGCGAACAGGAAGGAGGAAGGTTTATTTATCAGCACCTGTTCAAACCGGAGGATGTTTGACAGAAATGTTCATTATAAGGTGATCGATGCTTCCTGATCATTCCTGTCTGGATCGGACATCAGTGGCTGCTGGATGGGAATGAATCATCATCATCATCATCATCAGCCGCAGCGGCCTCAGTGATGCTATCACTGCGCCCTTAAAAAAATAAAAAGAAAACACGCACAGACCCACCCAGCCACTGACTGCTCACGGCCGTGGATTCAGCATGGAGGAAATCCTGAGGAAGCTCCAAAAAGACGCGTCTGGACACAAACACAAAGCCCTGCGGGATGCGTGCGTGTGCGCCTGCGGTGAGTTTGCGTGAGGTTTAAACTGCGTCCTGCAGCTCCTCCACCTTAATCTGTGCCTCCGAGCTTTAAAGAGGGATCTGTAGGACAATCAGATGGAGATCCAGGGATTAGCAGGTGGCACACCGTGGAGAGGCCGTGCCTTCATCATCACAGGCTGGGTTCACTATTGTTTCACTGAGAGATGAACTCTGGAAGCGAACCTGAGTCCAGAGAGAACAGCTTCCTGATGACGTGGTGCTGAACGCTCCAACTCATGCATGAATATTTCCTCTAAGGAGCAAAGCTGTTTGCTTCTCTGCCATTCTACCAATAGCAGAAAGATATTCAGGCGACATTTATTGTTCCAAGTTATAAAAACAGTCCTCTGGGTGGCACTGTGCAAATAAGTTAAACAAGTTCTATTAAAAATCAGAAAAATTTGCTTAAACCAGCGTTTTTCTTATTTAAATCTCATTTAGATAAATTAGAACCAACCCTAAATGTCAGCTTTGTTTAATAAAACACTTTTCTTTAAATAGTTTCCATGTATTTTTAGATTTATTCCATTTGGTCTCTGAGAGCAAATAAAAATAATAAGCTTTTACTTTAAACTGAATTTAACACTGAAATAAAATTAGATGTTTATGCATTCATGTTATACATTGAATTTTTAAATTAGAAAAAAAATGTAAAAAAAAAAATGTTTCCATTTTGAAGTCGAGAACAATCGTTCAGTTTGGTTTATAGATAATTTCCTGATTCCCATATTTTCTCAAACCCCTGAACTGATGGTTTGTTATTTTCTTTCTTTTTTCTGTCTTAATGTTGGCAGTGGGCTTTAGGCTGCCCTGCAAGGCTTTAAACCTGGGTTTAACCGGAGACTAAGCCATTCTCAAGCACATATCAAGGAGCTCATTTTGATGTTGATTCTGTTCATGGTGGAGAATCCTGCTTCACAGCAGCAGGTTGAGCCAAACATCCTCTAAATGTGCAGGGTCATCTTTGAGCACGCCATTTCACTTTTCTTTCACCAGTTCACCGCAGTTCTTCCAGCAGTCCACACTTTCTCTGCTCTCTTTTTCTCATGGTCTTCTCCTTCTTTCCCATCGCCCGGCTTGCCACAGGTTTGCCTGCTGTGTCTAAAAGTAGCAGCAGCAGCAACCCAGACTGACAGCTCATTGGCTCATTTGGATCACGTGCAGCCTGGAGCCGGGCGCTCCCCAGGGCTTTACCGTATTAACAGGAGAAGAGGGGCAAGTGAAACCTGCAGGACAGCACCCCTCAAGGACCGACTCTGGGGATACCTGCTTTTATCTGTTCTGCAACACAAGTTCCAATATCAGCAATAAATACTCAAAAATCTGCTTATTTGGAGACTTTAGAAACAAAATGATTCCCCCCATGAGACCAAAGGTCTCTGGTTTATTTCTGTGAGAAATCTAACTGTGAAGAGGAAGGGCAGAAACTGTTAGCATTGACAGCATAGCAGGAGAAAGGTGGGTGACGAGTTCACTGAGACGGCACAGGTTCAGGTTGTGCTGATGGAGGGAGAATCATGTTCCCTTCCACTTTATGCAATATCACAGAAATGCTGTGTAACAGAATCAAGGCGCCTACTGAGCCTGTCTAAACTGGACGCGGCTGGAAGGGCTTACTCAAAGGGGTTTGTGAAAACAGCCTTGGTGAAACCTCAGCAGGACCATAACCCATGACTCCATGCCAAAGGACATCACTTCCAACTGTTTCCAAGAAATGCTGGCTAGGTTAGCAGACATCTGCTCCCTGTGAAAGCTTTTTAGGCAGCAGGTTGTAAAATTAGTAAAAAGAAGGAAATACATCAGCGATGAAATCTCAGAAAAACCAATAAGAGTCAATCACTCTGAGAAATGTTTTAATGTCACTTCAAAAGAATTTAAAATCCTCTTTCTCAGACAAAACTTAGAAAAATTGAGGCCGTCTACAAGAGACCAAACGCCATTTGAGAATTATTGAGTTAAACAAGATATCTGGGAGTTAAACTTGGATCTATTCTGGGTCCTCTGCAGGAAAAGTCACAACGAAGCGGCTGCTACAGACTCCGAATGATGCAGAGGTACAGCTTGGATCGCTTTAGTGCAAAAATAAATCTGGATCCAGAATGGCTTAGTCTCCGGTTAAACCCAGGTTTAAAGCCTTGCAGGGCAGCCTAAAGCCCACTGCCAACATTAAGACCAGTCTTACGTTTACATTTTATCACTGCTGCATTTTAAAAATGCAAATGTCTTGAGAGCTACACTGAACAAAACTTCTTTCTGTAAACACTCTGTGTACAAAATGACAGATGATGATAAAGTCTGTCTAAGCCATAAAAAATACCAGTTCAGGTATTTTATAAAATATGAATCATGAAATTATCTAGATACCAAACTGAACGACTGTTGTTCTCTACATGCACGCATAAATACCTCATCTTATTTTAGTTTGTTTAAAGTAATGGATTATAATTAAAACCGTCTCCGGACCTTTACTGGTTGATGATTTTCTTTATCCGGACCCCGCAGATTTTTTATTGGTTAGCCCTAATCTAATCATTTGATTCAGGTGTGTTGAAACAAAGGCACATCTAAAGGCAGCAGCATACCGGGCCTCAGGAACTGGAAATGCCCGCTGCTGCTTTAGTGGGACCCTAAGAGATCAGTATAAAGACAAAGTTCTGCAAATATTAATAAGCTGAAGCCACACTGGAAAGATAGGTTGGACAAAAACATGTCCTCTGTGATGTGAAAGACTGAAAAAATCAGACAGAACATCACTGCTGATGCTGCTAAAAGACCAGAGGTTGGAGTCTATTGGTTGTACTTCGGTTGGGTCGTGATGAGGAGAAGGTCAGATAAGTTAGGTACTGAGTTTTTCCTTACATCTTCTAGCGCTGGGCAATTAATTGCATTTGCAATATAAGTGCAATTTAACTAAATTCAATTTTTAAATTTCAGAGACACTGATTTTTTTATTTGGACTAGATTTAAAAGTGTAAGACACTAAATTTCTCCTTCCGGCCCGTTACACTGGAAAAAATCAAACTCTAGATAAGTCAGTTTTTCTTAAAATAAGTGAATTTGTTCTTGGATTGAGGAGGTAAAAGATGCATCTTGCCAATGGAACAATTTTAAAGTATAAATGCCAATTTACACTTAAAATAAGAAAACTCAATTGCATTGTCTTATTTCAAGTGCATATTATCTAATTATCTTATTGTACCGATCAAATTAAAGATAAATACACTTGATTTAAGGAATTTTTCACTTATTTCTAGATCGTTTTTCCCGTGTAGATGGTGGTAAAGTGCTGGAAGTTGGTTTGCTGCCACTCAGAAAGGTAGCTGGAGTTGCAACTAGCAGCAGATCAATGCATGCAAGTTGAAATTAACACTATTTTTACACAATGGTTAAGGTAAAGTCATGTAACAATGGAGTCTGGACAAGCAAAAAGTGAAATCCTGGGGTGAAACATCTACACTGGAAGAGATTGAAATCTAGATGTTATTTTTTCTTAAAATAAGTGCATTTGTTCTTAGATTGAGGAGATAAAAGAGACATTTTGCCAATGGAACAAGACAATTTACACTTAAAATAAGAAAACACAATTGCTTTGTCTTATTTCAAGTGCATATTATTTAATTATCCTATTTTAAGAGGGAAAATACTGATTCCATTGGCAAACTATCTCATTTACCTACTCAGATTAAGGATAAACACACTTCATTTAAGACATTTTTACTTATTTCTAGATCATTTTTTCAGTGTATAAGCTTACTGCAAAAATGATCTAGAAATAAGTAAAAATTTCTTAAATCAAGAGCATTTACCCTTAATTTTAGTCGGTAAAATTGCCGATGGAATGAGTATTTTTACTCTTAAAATAAGATAATTAGATATTATGCACCTGTAATAAGACATTTAGTTACTTTTTCTTGTTTTAAGTGTAAATTGTCTTGTTCCATTGGCAAAGTGTCTCACTTACCTCCTCAATTCAAGAAAAAAATGCACTTAGTTTAAGAAAAAATGACTCATTTCCATATTTTGCAGTGATTGGCGTTAGTGTAAAAGAAAATCGAAATAAATCGCAATTTTGGTTAAAAATAATTGTAATTTTGCTCAGCCCTAACATCTTCCTCTGTGGCTCATACTCAGACGCACTCAGGAATGTTTCAGTGTTCTGCTGCAAACACCTTTAACACACAGAGATCAGGATACAGATGAGGAGGACGAGGACACCTGCAGGTTCCTGTAACATGACGACCTGCAGTCACATCCTCGCATTTTTATGTTTCTGCTCAGGAGGTTGTTGGACTTCTTCACTTTACTTTAAAAGTATCTGAGGAAACCTGCAGATTAATAAATCAGACGGCATAGCTTAGTGGAAACAGCTACAGCTTGATTGTTAAAAAGAAATATTTTGCATGTGTTTTCAAACATAAAGCTGCTTTACTTTGCATTCCCAGGTTTTCATTTGTTTTAGTAATTTTATTTCCAGTTATCAGTTTTAAGCAGTTCAGAGTTTCTGCAGCTTTAGCCAAATAATAATAAAACATTCTTCATATTTTCCTGTCTTAAACTTTTTTCTTCTGTCTAAAAAAAAAAAAGTCTAAATATTTAAGTAGTGCTGTTTATCTGTTACAGTTTTTAGTCACATAAATAATCGTTCTTGGTTTTGTTTTTTTTCACAGAAACTCTGGAGTCTCAGAGAGGATCAGCCAAAGTTTCTCCTTCGCAGCTTCGGTAAGTTTATTCATTCATTCTTCATGCATTCGGCTCAGTATTGTTGGTTCATTTTGATTCTTCTCTGCTGCATCCAACCAACATCTGCCAATAAAATAATAATTCTGTCTGTTTAGAGACAACATCATCACTGCAAAAGATTCAAATCTAAATACGTGCATTTTTTCTTCAGACAGAAACAGACTGCAGAGCTTCTACATATCTGGACATTTAGTTTCTGGCATCATTATAGTAAAAAGATTCATAAATCTTTTTAAACAGAGCACAGAGAGAAGTAGGGAGAGCTGCAGATTTGAAGGTGAAACAGATTTACTGGGATATGCAACATGTAATAAAACATATATCCAAGTTTACCAAAAAGTTTACAAGAAAAAAATCTGCTATGCTAAATTTAAAATGCAGCATATCCATATTTTTATGGATGGATGGAATTGAAATTGTACTTCTAGGGATGCATTATCGATTTTTGGCATCAGAAATGGCTGTTAGTCGTTATTTTTTTGTACATTAAGCTTTTTGGGCTCTATATATATATAATGCAATAAAAGGATTGCTTTCCTATTCAACAATAGGAAAACATTCAATAAATATATGTTTGAGCTCATTTTTGGAAAATACAAAAACCTGATGAATGCATCGGGTCGAGTAACAGTAGGCCCCCACCCTTAGAGTGTCCCCACCAACTTTCATCACAAAGTTTCACCCTTGCCCTCATCGCACTCTGCACCAAGATCTTGCCGACAATGAGAAAAGACTGGCAAAGAACGGCACCAACCCTTCCGTTATGACACCCTGAATCGCTGCCGTGATAAATAAAAAGAAGATCTTCCTTCTGACAGCAAAAACCATCAGTCTGCATAAAAAATGATGAGTCATGATGACATCAGCTTAAAGGTGGTCACGGGGAAGACTACCAGGTACTGTGGATTAACAGTATGGTATTATCCCCGACCAGCCGGGGGCCAAACACCACCTCCTTTGTTTTCTAGTGTTAAAGGTGAGAAAGATCTTATCACTCCGATGCACAAATGTCTGTAAAGCTCTGTGAAACAGAAACATGATGGGTCTGAGTTCTGGTAAAGCAGGGGGAGAAGTGAAAACTAGATTATCTGGGAAACTATTGGTGCATCGATTGTGTAAAAGGTGAAAAAGGAACTAACTTTAACCATGAGTTAGTTCATTGGTGACATGAACATCTAAAGAAGGTCTAAATGTTCCATCGTCACGTGGTCACTCTAAAAGAAGTTCACAAACAATCCACTGAACTTTGTTTCCAAGTTTGAAGACGCTTCGCTTCCCATCCAGGAAGCCTTTTCAATTCAAAATGTCAGAAATAGCGTTGAGTTTGAGGCTTCATAGAGTGGACAAAAAAACAACAACCTTGTTTTGGCTCAGAAAACATGCGATTGAACCGGGAAAAACGGGTCTAACCTCTGGGAATGGGGGTCGTTTGGGTTCTTAGTTAGCCTGCAATGCCCCATACCTGTCTATGTTTCTGACAGGTATGGGGCATTGCAGGCTAACTAAGAACCCAAACGACTGCCCATACCTAGATGTTGGACCCGTTAGTCCTGGATGGGAAGAGAAATATCTTCACACTTGGAAACCAAGTCCAGTGGATTGTTTTTTTTTTTTTGGAATGACTATGACCTGGATGACTGAGAATCTTCACCAGCGTCATCACATGGTTTATTGCCTCCGTTCTCTTAGAGTCTACTGGGAAGAGTCTCAGTATTCCAGAAACATTTCTTTGACGGGTTCCTCTGGGTCACAGCTTGCAGAGCTCTAGCCTCGTGAGACCATCCTGATCTCGCGAGCTTTCAAGGTTTCACTCGCAGATCAGTCTGGAGACTCTCCGTTAAAGAAAATTTGGAGCTGTTCACCAAACGAACGTCCAATCAGCGTTGGCTTTGAGGCGGGTTGAGGTGTGACGCAACGAGAAGCGCGACAGTTCAGTCTAAAGAACATGGCGGCTTCAGCCGATGAAACTAGCGTTAGCGTGGCTATCGAGCAAGTTTTATGGGAATTACAGAGTATTTCTTCACTGAAAGAAGAGCAAAACACTGCTCTGGAGGCTTTTCTCAGAGGAAAAGAGGTTTCTGCTCTTCTCCAGACTGGTTTCAGCAAGAGTAGCCTGGCTTGTGGTTGTGTTTTCGTCGTCGCTCTGTTAGTACTTCATATGCTTCGTTGATCTGATTGGTTTATTTGGCCCGTCTATCACCAACATAGGCCAATCAGCTAACCAGTATTTTCGCCCCTTCCCAAAATTACTTCAAAGGAAGGTTTCCAGATGGTTATGTGGAGCAAATCCATCTGGCGGAGTCAGGTTAGCAGAGCTCTGGGTCTCCTGCATCTTTCAACTGTTCTGGTCTGATTTGAATGGATTTAAATGATCCAGGTGTTAATCAGCTGCTGATGCAAATATTGAACATAGCAGTGAAATAAAACCAGAGACGGTTTTCTGATCTCCTCCCAAACATTAGAGGAAATTTTGCAAACAGGAATCAGTTTAGATATCTGTATAGTGACTGAATATATATAAAAAAGAATATTTTTAGTAGATGATGCTAACTCGTCCGTCCAAAACTGCTTTATAACTTCCTCCTTTACTTCATGGATGCACCTTTACCACAGGTAGATTAATGGGGAAATATTTCCACCATCTGGATATTGAAAAAAAGAACAGTGAAAACATAACTGCCAGTTTTCTGTTTGAATGTTTTAGATCTTAACAAAGACAGTGTTTGGAGGTATGATATTTTTAATTCAACAATATGAAGCTCAGTGTTTTAGAGGATGTGCAGTCATTTACAAACTCAACACAAAAGCTGAGAAAACGCATCATTTGCTAGAAGTTTAAGAGTTTAAAAAGCTCTGCTGTGAGCCAATCTGGAGCCATACGTTCTGTCATGCAAAGGATTGTGGGATGCCGTATGGCTCCTCATGCCAGCTAGGAACGTTCAGAGCTCTTTATGCTACAGTAACTGAATTAATGCTAGGAAGCATCCTGCTGCCAGGATGAGTGAGCTTAGGAGAACGGGTGTGTGGGAGAGGAGGAAGCTGGAGATCTGCTGTGGTTCTATTCAGTTTATTTCTATAGCTCCAATTCACATCATGTCATCTCAGGTCACTTTCCAGTTCATCAGATCATCCAGTCAGATTGATTCAAAGTTTTCTATCTAAGGAAAACCAGCTGATTGCATCGACTCATTGACTCTTCAGCAATCCCTCACACTAAGCATGCTTGTAGCGACAGTGGAGAGGAAAAACTCCCTTTGAACAGGAAGAAACCTCCAGCAGAACCAGGCTCAGTGTGAGCGGCCATCTGCTGAGGCCCACTGGGGTTCAAGGAGACAGAAGCAGACATAGAAAAAGAAGCATAGATACAAAAGGCAACTGTCAACCAGCTCCACAGGCGGCCCCGTCCAGGAAACACACAGCCAGGCAGACGAGCTCCGAGCCAGCTCCCATGTCAGAGGATGAAGAGAGCACATCCAGTTAGTCACAGTCAGAGAAACAGGACTACACTGGAAAACAGGCCAAGCTCCAACATCTAGAAACAAAGGTGTTGATGGCAGCAGCACAGCTGATATTTCTCTCCAGGATGGAGTCACAGCCAAACAGGAACAGACCAGATGAAGCTACTATGAGAAAAAGCAGAGAGAGCAGAACGTTAGAGATTGAACTAACAGATTCTGCAGAGTGGGAGAATAGAGATAGAATGAAGCAGAATGATGAAAAAGGGGTCCCTATGTCCTCCAGCAGTCTAAGCCTATAGCAGCATAACTATAGAGATAGCTCAGGATAACCTGAGCCACTCTAACTAGAAGCTTTATCAAAAAGGAAAGTTTTAAGCCTAGCCTTAAAAGTAGACAGGGTGTCTGCCTCACGGACTAAAACTGGTAGTTGGTTCCACAGGAGAGGAGCCTGATAACACATCTAGGTGATGGAAGATTCACTAATCTGAATCATTCATTTTAGCTTTTCTTGTTTTATCAAAATTAGATAAAATATTCATTTTCATTTTGATGTAGTTCTGGATGCCGACATTGAAGCAGCTTGATCATCTGATTCATCTAATTGTGACGATTCTTTGTTTTCTAGACGTTTCTGCCAGTTTTATCTGTGATGTCTTTCTCTCTATGCGTCGCCTCTCCTTCTCATTTTCCCGTGGCTCAGTTTTCTCTTTCTTCAGGCTCATAAATAGACTGTGAAGTGATTGAAGCGTTCTGCACTCTGAGGCTCCCTGCAGCCCATTTGAAGGCGTGGAGCTGAGGTGGTTCAGAGGCGACTGAAAGCCCAGAATCCATCAGCAGCAAACAGACTCAATCAACCACAAAGAAAGACGCAGTTTAAGAAACTGGAACAAATGCAGAGAGACGAAGAGTCACTGAAGATGAAGAGGAGGCAGTTTTTTGTTTTAGACACATTCTTACATCACTCACCCAGTGATGAACTACATAAACCTATAGAAAAGGTTTTTGTTGATTTCATTTTGTTAAAATGTGGAGCTGGGAGACGTTCTGGCCACTGAGTTTGTTTAAGATAAATAATGATTACTCAGTTTATGATTTAGGGGGATAAAACTGTGAAAGAATAAATGGTGGTTTAAATTTTGGAAGGCCCAACAAAGCAGAAAACATGGACATTTAAACAGGCAAACTGGTTCACCTAACGACCCCCTTTCAGAGACATAGACAGGTATGGGGCATTGCAGGCTAACAAAGAAGCCAAACGACCCCCATTCCAAAGGGGGGGACCCTTTCATCCGTTTCTATTTGCATGTTTTCTAAACTAAAACCAGGCTTTGTTGGGCTGCTGGATAAAACCTGGAACTAAACGCTATTTCTGACATTTGGAATTAAAAATCTTCCTGGATGGAAGAGAAACGTCTTCAAAGTTGGAAACAAAGTCCAGTGGATTGATTTTTATTTTTACTTTTTTGGAATCACAGCTTCCACCTTTTTCAGGAGATATTTTCTATTTTCTTTTTCTGTTTTTATTGGTTTATCATTCTGGCCTCCTTTTGGTAGATAATGTTTTTTTTAGTGAAGTTATGATTCTCTTCTGTCCCATGAAAAAATATACAATTTCTTATAAAGAATAAAAAAATAAATCTTTACTAATATTCTTTGGAGCCTTATATTGGTCAACAGGAAAAATCTGATGTTCTCCAAGAAGAAATGAAGAATATATATATTTTTTTATTTTTTTGTTTGATTTTATTTAGATTACACATTTAAATGTGTTTACCATGACTTATTCTAATAATATTAGGCACATTTTTATTTTATTTGAGGCAGAGGTTGGGAGGAGATTTAAATGGTTCATTTATGTCGACATTCAGTAGAAATTAAATCCGATGACAGAAATAAACTGATTGATTTTTTTCCTCCTCTTACCTCATCCCACCATGAAGCTTCCTGTGACTCAGCAGACAGTTAAATGGGAAAAATCAAAGGTCAAATACAGGTGCTGGTCATAAAATTAGAATATCATGAAAAAGTAGATTGATTTCAGTAATTCCATTTAAAAAGTGAAACTTGTATATTATATTCATACATTACATACAAACTCATATATTTCAGATGTTTATTTTGTTTAATTTTGATGATTACAAATGACAACAAATGAAAATCTCAAATTCATCATATCAGAAAATTAGAATATTACTGAAGACCAATAAAAACAAAGGATTTATAGAAATGTTGGCCAACTGAAAAGTATGAACATGAAAAGTATGAGCATGTACAGCACTCAGTATTTAGTTGGGCCTCCTTTGGCCTGTATTACTGCAGCAATGCGGCGTGGCATGGAGTCGATCAGTCTGTGGCACTGCTCAGGTGTTATGATAGCCCAGGTTGCTCTAATAGTGGCTTTTAGCTCTTCTGAATTGTTGGGTCTGGTGTATTGCATCTTCTTCTTCACAATACCCCATAGATTTTCTATGGGGTTAAGGTCAGGAGAGTTTGCTGGCCAATTAAGAACAGGGATACCATGGTCCTTCAACCAGGTACTGGTAGCTTTGGCACTGTGTGCAGGTGCCAAGTCCTGTTGGAAAATGAAATCTGCATCTCCAAAAAGTTGGTCAGCTGCAGGAAGCATGAAGTGCTCTAAAACTTCCTGGTATGTGGCTGCGTTGACCCTGGACCTCAGAAAACACAATGGACCAACACCAGCAGATGACATGGCACCCCAAACCATCACTGACTGTGGAAACTTTACACTGGACTTCAAGCAACGTGGATGAAGTGCCTCTCTTCTTTTCCTCCAGACTCTGGGACCTTGATTTCCAAAGGAAATGCAAAATTTACTTTCATCAGAGAACATGACTTTGGACCACTCACCAGCAGTCCAGTCCTGTTTCTCTTTAGCCCAGGCAAGACGCTTCTGACGCTGTCTGTGGTTCAAGAGTGGCTTGACACAAGGAATGCGACAGCAGAAACCCATGTCTTTCATACGTCTGTGTGTGGTGGTTCTTGAAGCACTCACTCCAGCTGCAGTCCACTCTTTGTGAATCTCCCCCACATTTTTGAAGGGGTTTTGTTTCACAATCCTCTCCAGGGTGCGGTTATCTCTCTTGCTTGTACACTTTTTTCGACCACATCTTTTCCTTCCCTTCGCCTCTCTATTAATGTGCTTGGACACTGAGCTCTGTGAACAGCCAGCCTCTTTAGCGATGACCTTTTGTGTCTTGCCCTCCTTGTGCAAGGTGTCGATGGTCGTCTTTTGGACAACTGTCATGTCAGCAGTCTTCCCCATGATTGTGTAGCCTATAGAACTAGACTGAAAGACCATTTAAAGGCTTTTGCAGGTGGTTTGAGTTAATTAGCTGATTAGAGTGTGGCACCAGGGGCCATCAATTTTGAACCTTTTCACAATATTCTAATTTTCTGATATGATGAATTTGAGATTTTCATTTGTTGTCATTTGTAATCATCAAAATTAAACAAAATAAACATCTGAAATATATGAGTTTGTATGTAATGTATGAATATAATATACAAGTTTCACTTTTTAAATGGAATTACTGAAATCAATCTACTTTTTCATGATATTCTAATTTTATGACCAGCACCTGTAAAGCTGGAATCTAATTTCTCATGGAGATAAAAAGCAGCAGCTTCAGACGGATCCAGAATTGTATTTGTCGCATCATCTTCCCTGCTTGGACTCTTTCCTGTTAGATACTTGTGTATCGGTGCATCTGTGCTTCATTAATATTCATTTTTTCTGTTCCTGAATGCAGAGAGCGCTGCCTGCTGCCGCTGCAGATGGCTCTGGAGTCCAAAAACACCAAACTGGGACAGACGGCGCTCTCTGGCATGCAGGTAGCTGGAGATAAACATGTTTGATCTTCACCACCTGACTCTGTCTGATTCGGCCTAATAAGTGAATTCTGCTCCCGTCCGCCATCAGAGGTTCCTGTGTGACGACAGGTTTGTGGGCAGTGTCGGCTCGGAGGTGGAGGTTCTGGAGAAACAGCTGCTCAGCCAGATGTTGGAGGCCATCAGAGTGACTCCGTCTCTGCATGAGGACCTGCAGGTGGAGGTCATGAAGGTGAGGAGTAACGAACGGCTCAATTCTGCTAAAAGGCAGAAGAAGAAGCATTGACCTCTGACCTTCTCCTGCAGAGCATCTGAAGCGTTTATCTCTGTTTGCAGGTCCTGCTCTGCATCACCTACTCTCCCAACTTTGACATCAATGGAGACTCCATCCTGAAGATCGCTCAGGTGAAACATGCATCTCTAGTTTTTTGACTGGATGATATTTTGAGGAAATTTTAGTCCTTCACTGTTTGCCCCAAGTGGGCCCAGAGCGCACGGAGGGGTAGCACCACCCCCCAAAATGAAAAAAAAAATGAAATTATAAATTCTGTACTTTTCCATCTTTTAACCCTTTTTTAAAAACCCAACATTCTCAAACAAAAGGATAACATCCACCGTTTGCTCGGTGCAGGCCAAGGCCAAGCTTTACGTCACATAACCAGACAGAGTTGGATCAGAAGCTAGCCTAGCGTATCACATTGTTTTTGCAAAGACAAACTGTGAAGCTAGATGCATTATAAAAAACAAACAAACACAAAATTGAGATTTAATTAGTGTTGCACCGATACTGATACCAGTATCATGCAGGGCTCCGATCCAGCACTAAAATAGTGTTATCAGTCTCGGCGAGTACCAACCAGTAGGGCATTGTTACCATTCTGAGAGCCAAAAGTTTCTTCAACTATTGTCACCCATTCCAGGTCGGCAATAAAAGGTTCTACTGGATTCACTTTGTTTTAGTCTTTTTCCTGCTTCACAAAGGAAGGCAGCAGCTTGACATGAAGCAACGATGGTGATTATTTTACATCCAAGTAGTCTGCAGTTCTTCATAGATACACACATTAATTTCAAACAGATGGTATTGGCTGATACTGCACAGCCAGGTATCTAGGAACCAAAAGATGGCATCGCTGCAACACTAGATGTAACTCATCAGCCACAAGAATACTAAATCTTTACTGAGGAACACTAAGATGCAATTTATAAAATAAAATGCTTTCAGGACTATTTGTGTTTTATAATTTTTATAATTGGTTTTGCTTTTGGAAAATAAAATCTGATTAATGGGCATCTAATGTTTTCCTTTAATGCCGGGCCTGGCACCAGGTCACGACCCTGCTGGGTCAGGCTGCTCAGATATGTTACTTATATCCTCCTCAGTTCAGCTTTAGAGCTATAAAAGCTAATTGTTTTACAGACTCTAATGTCCTGGTTAGCTAAGCTTCTAGAAGTGATCTGTTGCTTGTATATATATATATATATATATATATATATATATATATATATATATATATATATATATATATATATATATATATATATAAAAAGAAAAGTGAATGGGCAATGGATTACAGATGCAAAATTGGTTTAAAACACCCCACATCTGTGAGGAATGTATGTATGCTACTGGCCATTCAGTGCATTAGGGTGGGCCTTAAAAAAAGATGAAGTTCTAAGCCATGATGCAAAAATAACAAGTTATTAACAATAAACAACAATTATCATCTGAAATATTATTTATAGTAGAATATTATAAATATTATTTAGAATTAGCATTTGAGTGTGTCAAAATGCTACACTACTAAAACAGTTAAATATTGTTATTTTTTTTTTTTCAGGAACAATACAACAAAAATATAAAAGTGGCACATTGTAATTAGATTACAGTAAGTTCAGCAGAGTTAGATCCTTTTACAAATTCAAAAAAATATGTCCAAATCCGGCTTGTTTTATCCTGATTGTCGTGAATTTTTGATAACAGTCTCTCATATGAAGCAGTTTCTGTCATCATTTTAATCCAGTCTGATGTTTGTGGCTTGTGGGGGCTTTTCCATATTCGTAAAATTAGACGTGCAGCAACAAGAAAACCAGTCACAGCAAACTTGTAAGTGTCCATAGTGAACCCAGGAGGTATAAAACATTTACTGCCAAGCAAACACATTTGTGGTGATGCTGGGATAGGTAAACCAATACATCTTTCCAGATATTTTACAACCTCTGTCCAAAATGGAGCCACCAGGGGGCACTCCCAGAATACATGAATGTATGTGCCAATATCACCATTGCATTTCCAACAGGTGTTCTTCTGTAATAAACCCATTTTAAATAATCTGGATGGTGTAAAATAAAATCTATGAATAATTTTGTAGTGAATAAATTTGCTTCTTGCATCCCTGGTGGCCCATCCTACATTAGAAACAACATTTTCCCACATATCTTGCATAATATTAATATTAAGATCTTTTTGCCAGCTCAGTCTTAAACCTTCACATATTGCACCTTGGTCACCTAAAAGCTTCTTGTAATACATTGATGCAGTTTGGAAATTTTTTGGTAAGTTTAGCCAGGCCTGTAATGGGTTTTCTCCCTGTATATTGCTCAACTCAAAAACTGAACCTACACTACTTCTTATTTGTAAATATTTCCAGAAATCCCCTTTATCTGTAAGATTAAAGGTGTCTCTCAGCATTGCAAATGACATGAAATTGTTATCTCTGTACAAATCCTCAATCTTCTGGACCCCTCCTATTAACCATTTCTTCCAATAAACAGGAGATTCCCCAATACGCACTACTGGGTTGTTCCAAACTGAGGAGTAAGTCTGTTTATATGAGGAGATGCCCAATATTTTGTGAGCCTTATTCCATGCCCATTTAGAATGTTGTATAATTGGGTTATATTGTAGTTCACCTTCAGGCTTATGAGAAAGCAGCTGGATGACTTCAAAAGGAGTTGTTAATGCCCTTTCAACTTTAACCCATCCCTTATCCAAGTCTTGCTTTTTCCAATGCCTGGATAATTTATTCAATTCAAATGCAATATTGTATAATTCTAAATCTGGGAGTGCCATCCCTCCTGTCCCTCTCAGAGCCGAAAGTTTTTTAAGACCAATTCTCGGTTTCTTCCCATTCCATAAAAATGTTTTGATTAGCTCATTATATTTCTTATACCAGGTGTTACTAATAATCAGGGGTACCATCATTGAAATATAATTCAATTGTGGGGCAACCAGCATCTTAATGGTATTAACTTTACCCCACAAAGTAATATTTAATAGTTTCCATTTATCTATATTATTTTTTAAGTTATGGAGCAGTGGTTCTATATTGATTGAGATTATATTATTCAACTCCGGGCTTAATTTAATGCCAAGGTATTTCATACCAACAGGGGTCCATCTAAATTGGAACTGTGAGAGGTGAGTTTGGAAACAGTTCTTTGAGACTGGCATGGCCTCAGACTTCTGCCAGTTGATTAAGTACCCTGATAACCTTGAAAAATGTTCAATTGTTGACAAAACCTCTGGGACTGAAGTGGAAGGATCCCTAATAAGAAGTAGAATATCATCAGCATACAGGAACATTTTATGTTCTTCTGAGTCCTGCACCACACCTTTGATATTTTCATTATTTCTGATTGCCGCAGCTAAGGGCTCCAAAAAGAGGGTGAACAGAAGGGGACTCAATGGGTCTCCTTGTTTTGTCCCGCGTTGTAGTTTGAAAAAAGGTGAAACTAACCCATTTGTTGACACAGCGGCTCTAGGGTCTGCATAGATCACACTAACCCATTTGATTAAGCCTTCCCCAAATCCAAATGCTTTCAGAGTGTATTGGAGGAAGCTCCATTCTACCCTGTCAAAGGCCTTATGGGCATCCAACGACAGGGCCACTACTGGAGTGTCATTATTGCGATTTTGCCACATGAGGTGCAGGAGTCTTCGGACATTATCTGATGATGTCCTTCCCTTCACAAATCCCACCTGGTCCATATGAATTAGGTGTGGCAATATATTTTCCATTCTAATTGCAATGACTTTTGTCAGAATTTTACAGTCTACATTTATAAGACTCACCGGTCTAAAACTGCCGGGATCCATAGGATCCTTATCTTTTTTATGTATTAAGGAAATTAGGGCTTCATTAAAAGTGTCCGGCATTTTCCCCAAATCAAGTGATTCTTTGAAGACCTCCGTCAAAATTGGAGCCAGTTTGTCTGCAAATTTTTTATAATACTCCGATGGGAACCCATCCACTCCTGGCGACTTCGATGGTCTCATGAGAGAAATTGCCTTTTTTACTTCCTCTACTGTTATAGGGCTATCCAAATATGTTTGTTGATCAATTGTCAGTTTAGGCAAGTCAAATTTTGAAAAAAACCTGTCACACTCTTCAAGATCATGTTTTACCTGTGATTCATAAAGTTTGTTATAGAATTTAAAGAAAACATCATTAATATCACCAGTACTGGTCTTTGGAATTCCTGATTCATCTTTTATGGCTGGTATTGTAAAATTAGCCTCTTTCCTTTTAAGCTGTCTTGCCAAGAGTTTTCCAGCTTTCTCGCCACTCTCATAAAAGTTGGTGTTTAATCTAAATAAAGCATATTCGACTTTTTTGTTATATATGTCGTTTATCTGTAGTTTTAGATCACAAATTTGTCTTAACAGTATCTCATCATAACATTCTGATAGCCTTTTTTCCAAAGTCTTTAGCTCAGTTTCTATTGTATTTATTCTTTGCATTTGTTCTTTCTTTTTTTTTGATGCATATGCAATCAATTTCCCTCGTATATAGGCCTTTGATGCCTCCCAAACAGTACCCACCCTTTCTGTTGAACCCATATTCAACTCAAAGAAATTATCAAGCTCCTGTTCCAAGTACTTACATAGTTCAGTATCATGTAATAAAGACACATTAAGTCTCCACCTACTCTTTTTGATCAAATCTGGTTCCAAAATCAAACCCAAGTGTACGGTGGCATGATCTGTCAGTGCAATTGGTCCTATTGAACAGTCTGAAACATCTTGCACCAAGTTATTGCTGATTAGGAAGTAATCAATTCTGGAATGAGATTTATGCCTATGAGAATAAAATGTATACTCTCGTTCTTTAGGGTTAATCACCCGCCAAATATCTACCAAGTTGAGATCTTTCATCATTAACTCAATAGCCATTCTGTCCTTGGGCTCGACCCTAGAATACGTAGTTTTATCCAAGACCCCATCCACGACCTGGTTATAATCTCCCGCAATTATTGATTTGCTTGTAGATATGTCCCCAATCATTTTGTTTATGTAATGGAAAAAATCTGCATCCTCTTGATTTGGTCCATAAATGTTGCATAGGTTAACCTTCACACCATTGATTACAGCTTCTAAGCATATTACTCTGCCATCAGAGTCTTTG